CTTAAAGATTTTAGAAAAAAAAAAACTAATTTCATGGCAATCCAAGTTACTTCTCCCGCTATCGTCTCACTCTATCTCTCCTTTTCGCACTCAATAGTGCACTAAACAATGTTAAGTAGCATCAAATACTAGGTGCAAAGTAGCAAACCGGCTGTTCAAGAATGAAGGAGTATTTGCCATCGGTTGGCAAATAAAGGTGTTCCTTTCCTTAAGTAATGTATAAAAAAAAAAAATAATTATAGTATAATCTGGTTTGTAAGCATGTAGATATTTCCAAGAGACTTTCCAATATTGGCGTTCTTGAATGCTAATATCTCAGAGAGTTTTGGCCAAGTTAGGATCATTCAACTTTTTCGTTCTAATAGTTTCTACTTTTCATGCTGGTGCACCTCTTCTGATAGATATAAATATTCCAAAGATTGCCGCCCGCCCTCTCACAGCTTGGAAGCTACTTTATTAAAGATAATGCCTTACTGTGTATTGCATATGCCGTCGTACAAAACCTTTAATATTTACATGATATTCCTCTGCGACCTTCACGAAAAGGCACATGTCCTGAATGTTAGGTGTACAAATCTGTTCTCTGGAAAAAATAGCCAATCATTTAAGACGTACTTGCTAAAAAGCCTAATAATCGAAATATTCACCGTTACATTCTATCAAGTACTCTGTTACCTTCTATCAAGTAGTTTACGAATGCCCTCGAACTAGAAACATAATGATTTCGAGCCAAAGTAATCAAAGTCTTTTTGGCGCGTCTTCACTTTTGTGAGGCGTTGATCTGTTAAATACGAGACCATCGATGTAAACAAACCGTTATCAAAATGAGCCAAATTTAGGGAATAAGCTGCAATCGGAAAAGTTTCTAATCTCGTTGGTTGCTTGTGCTGTCTGGGTACGAACGTAGCCATGAAACACTCGTAAGTGATTTTTTTTCTCAACGGTTAGTTTAATTAATTTAATTGGTCTTTATGTCGTTCAAGTGTAGGTGATTGGTTTTTGATCCCACCAAACGAGCGGCAGCACTTTCTGAACGTGAATCTCCACCGACTTTGCAAGAGAAATGGATGATTGTTCTGGATAAACTCTATCCTTGTTTTCATTAACGATTGCGGTACCTGGTGCCTTTTTCATCGTCCGTAACAACTTGGTTAAAACAGTCCTTCATTTCACGGCAACTTAACAACTTTAAGCTGACATCTACCTTAAGGATGTTTGTTCTCTTCTGTTAGTTCAAGAGAAAACCTATTTTTTCCTTTCTTTTGTATCTTGCACATTGTATGCAATCGAGCTGAAATTGCTTTTTGTTTCATCCATAAATGTACAACGAGCTTTCTTTGAATTTGTGCGTTGTGTTCTCGTCTCGTAAGCTTTGATTTTTCTGATCCACAACACCTTTCGGGAAACTGCAGACCGTTCATCAGCTTGAAGACTACAATTTTAAACACGAAGTCTTGGAAACTCATTTTCTAATTATTTCATAAATTACTGCATTTACAAACGCAACCAACTTGATACACAGGCGCTTACATATTGCAAACAACTGCAACTTACAACATGCGAGCATCAGTGTCATTGTTATTTACAACCAGAAGAGCGGAAGAAATGAATACGTTTGGTATGCTTTATAAAGCAACCAATTTCAGCACAAAGAATTTATTTGTACACCTAACAGAAGCGGGCAGGAAAAAACAGACAATTAGATAACGGTTTTTGCAAAAAAAAAGAAAAAAAAAGAAAAATCGAAGAAAAACAAAGCTTCCAGTATTCGTTTGAAAGAATGATTTTCGTTTCGAAATTCATTCATTTCATAATTGCGATCTTCAGTTTTGCTGCTGAATAGACACTCAAGCGCGCTGACTGACAACACAATTTGCCCGGAAAGGAATTCCAGATTAAACAAATTGAAAAAAAATTGAGAAAACAAGAAAACAAAAACAAAATATCCATTTCAAGTCGGTTGGGGAATGTCGCCGTTTCGCTATTGTTACGAGGTATGCAAAAGAGCTTCTATCATACTGCTCTGCGTTGCAATAGTTGTCAGTTCTTTTTGCGTAACAAATACTCTCGAAGGATGGAAAATTTTTCAAAAAAAATTATTCCAACAAGCATTGAATTGAAAAAACTTAGAAAATCTTATTTTAGCAGAGAATTTATTTAAAAGTTTGAAAAAACGAATGGAGGATAATCCAAATAGTGCTCTACCTCTTGGGAGTTGCATTCAAGTTGCTTGGAAAGTTTCCTGAAAACTCTTTCGCTTATCTACATTCTTATACATGTAGAATAGAAGGGATTTTTTTTTTTAATTTTGAAAAAATTTATACAAATTTTAAGTTTAGAAATGTATAATAATTTAATATAGGAAAGACAACGTAAGTTCAGTGAAGGTGGCTGCCTTAAGCGGTTCGTTGATGCGGTCACACTGAACAACTCCCTTTAGCAACAAGTAAAAGATCGCATGACCTCTAATCGCAATAAGAAATTCTTTAACGAAATCGGAAAAAGTTAACATAAGCAAATTAAGATTTAAGCGACAAAATACTAAATATCTTGATTACTGGATTAATGAAAACTGGTATCCCTCCATGGAAATCATATGCCGAAAAGAGGCAGCAAGATGTTCATTTTATAAATATAAGAAAGTTTTTAAAAAACGGTGATCTCCATATTAGCCGTAAACTTGGGCTTGGAAATTATTACGTTTAGCTTATTTCTAGCACTAGGCAACGGAAATGCGAACGTTAAAGATAGTTAATGTGTAGACTAGAGTAGACTAGAAGCTTTCGAAACATGAGTGCAAAGTAGATTACTGAAAGTATCCTGGCCCGAACGGTTAACAAATACAGAAGTACTTTTAGAAATCAGTCAAGATCAACAACAAGTCTAGCATATAGGAAAAGATCGTATGTGGGACACATAAAGTCAAATCGAAAACACTAATTCCTGTAGCTTGCCTTATAGTAGCAAAATCGAAGGAATTCATGGTATAGGCAGAAAGCAAGCATGTTGGCTTCGTAATGTACGCCAATGGACGGGCATAAAGAATTTAGGACACATGTCAGCAGCTGCAAGAGACAGTGGCGGGTTTTCTGTGGTTATTGGAAACCTAGAATGATTATGTAATAGGTGCTTGCTTGTATTTTGATCAGCGACCTCGTGGTGAAAATGATAAAGTAAATACGAAGCACGAAGGAATACAACGATAATTTCGACATTTCTCTACACAAACTAATAGTTTCCCATTTAGAATTATTGTGTTATCCAATGTTGACGCCAATCCTAGGACGCTAAAAATTGCATTTTCGACCTTCATTACTTGCATTGTTGGATTTGCTGCCGAAGTCCATCAAACACTTTTAAAAGCTTAAGCTGATGTGTTTCATCATATTTCACAAATGTGGTAGATTTGTTGTCGATCGTAAGGAACAGCTCAGGGCACCAAAAAAGTTCAAAGACAATGGATTCCAAGACTTACTGGACGAAAAACTATCTTCATATCCGAACAAACTTTCGAGCAGCTTAGCATTTGATGAATGCAGACTTTTGCACGCCGTGGGAAAGATCGAAAGGAGCTACCCCACGAATTGAGCGAAACTGTTATTCCGAACAGCGGTTCGACCACATCGTAGTTTCATTGCTTGACAGGCAAAAGAGGATAGTTTTCTGTGGCGTCCTGTGTATCGGATAGCGATACTACAATAATTAACAAGCGCAAAAAGTCATATGTTAGCCTGGGAGAGCCCCCCATGGCCATAGAGTTTTGCTGCGCAAGCTTTTAAATAAATTAATCTATTGTATGTTCACTAAGATTTGATATCGATTAGGCAGATGAAGAAGAAGAGGCTTAAACTCGTTCTACTTCTTGATATTGTTTCCATCGGATTTGTGAAGAAGGTCAACACAAATGCTTAACCCTTTTAATTCTTTGCATAATTAATTATTCTTTTAAAGCTTTAGTATTCGCTTTGATAGAAATTTCAATGCTTAACATTAAGCAAAGAAAGTCACTCCTTGTTCTACTCTTATGATATTTTCTTCTGAGTTATCCCAACTTTTGCGGAAACGAGTTGTGAGGAACTTTGCTTTTCTTATTAAAAACAAAAAAAAAAAGAAAACAATTACCATTTTCTTATCATTTAAAGGAAAAATTTCAACTTTCTATCCTGCAAAAAATTTCTTTAAAACGTATAAGTTTTGCAATTTAATGAGATGATGCATAGCAACAATTTATGGCTTCTCTATCGTATATCATTGAAGTAGACTTTCTTGCCAATGGCAAGGAAAAACTTAATTCAATTTCTTCCCATACACACAAACACGTGCGCATAAATGGAAGGCAAAAGCCAAAGACCAAAAAGTTCCTTATTTAACAAACAGCACCCCATAAAAATGTCAATAGTTAAATGGTTGGCTATGAAACTGAGGACGTCTGCACAAGGCGGGCAATAATAACAATAACAAAAAAAAAAATATAAAAAAAAAGAATAAAAATAAATAAATAAATATCATATCTTTCGGAATATGCTACATATGCGAAAAGCCACGAAACGCCGCCGCTGCTGTTGAGAATACCAAGCGAACCATTAAAAACCCATAAGTATCTGCATACGAGCTGATATATCCGCATATGCATATGCGTATAAAGAAAACGATAGCATTTGCTTAAGGAAGACAAAGAAGGAAGAAGATGTTACATTATATCCCGCTGATTTTAACTGGAACTGCTTAAGCAAACTACAAGCTTCAGCATAAAAGAACATTTTATGTAAAATGACGTTTAAATAATAAAAAAAGGCTTCTACGGTTTGCAATTTTTCTTTCTCGTTTTTTTTTGTTTTTCTTGTCTTGTGACCTCAGCCAGAGAGTAATGTATTTTTTTCTTATTTCTTTTTTTTATTTTTTTTTTTATTTTTTTTTTTTTTGCAAGAAGGAAACTTCAAATAGAGTTAATGACAACTAATATGCAGAGCAATATATATTTTTGTACATCATCTACTTACCGATATCGAATCCTTGGTTCGGTGTAGCATGCAATACCACTAAGCTTAGTAGGGTTAAAAGCTGATAGGAAAGGCACTGTTGGGAGAACATTTTGCAGGTGGTAATGATGGTGGTGGTGGTGGTAGTGGTGGTGGTGGTGGTGGTAGTGGTGGTAGTCGCCGCGTTGTTGGTGGTGTTGGTAATATGAGAGTTCAAGGTAAGTCGTCGTTGTTGTTGTTGTTGTTGTTGTTGTAGTTGAAGATATTTTCTTCTTAAAAATAATTTCGCTTTAGTCAACATTATCATCTTTTGGTTTTTATTCGCTTCTTCTTATTTTATTTAACTCTAGTTTAGTTGTAAAAAAAATAGACAAAAAAAAAAACGAAGAAGGCAGTAGTTTTGCTGTATTAAATTTGTAGAAATATTAAGCAGTCGCTGAAGAGATCTGCAAGAAGAGAGAAAAATTTATTTGGTTTTTTTGTTGTTTTTTTTTTTTATTGAATTTTTACTCAATCAAGAAAAATTTTCACTTCTAAAGCTTTATCTACCACCTGCAGTTTTACAAATAAATACTAACTTGAGAGGAGAAAAGCAAAAGAAAAACTTGTCTGATCCATTAACTCGATTAAATTGGAAACGTTGCACAAGTTTGTTAAAAGCATAATAACAATGTCGACGACATTTACTAGAAGATAGTGTATTGAAAAATTTATGCGTATGAGGCCAACAACTAATTGCAATTTATGATAACGTATTGCTGTTAACAGCAAGAGCTAAAAAAAAAAAATGAAAATAAAAAAATTAAAAAAATAAAAAATCGTAATAAAGCCCGAAAAAAATTTCTCTCAAAGACTTTTCAAAAAGCGGAAAAAATCTTCTTCATTTGACTCTTGATATGCACATATGCATGTTTGGACTTATATTTGCAGATATATACAATATATATATATATATATATATATATGCTTATGTTTGAATTTTTGCAGATTGTGTTTGCGAAATATGTGAGCACAACATGCCATGTCAAGACTTGACAGCTGTCAAAATAGTTAACTCTCTGTAGACATTTTAAAAGCCGAACAAAAAACTGTCAAATATATGCGCGCCGGGGATTTTTCCTTTTTTTTTTTTTTTTTTTTTTTTTTTTTGTTTTTTTCGTTTGCTAAGTTTCTTTTCATATTGTTTTCGGTTATTAAATCAAGAACGTGAAACGCTCGAAAGGCCTTGAAGTTTTGCAGCAATGAAGCACTGCCAAAAAACTTTTCGTTTATTAATTTATTAAATGAAAAAAAATTCACATTGTCACCGACATGACATTTATGTAAAACAATTGACATCTAACTGCTTCTCTTTTTTTTTTGTTTTTTTTTGTTTAAAAAGGAAAACTTAAAGGAATTTTACAAAAAGTTTTCAGCAATTAATTATGACAATAAACAAAGCATATTTATATAAAAACAAGTGAAAACACCATAGCGGGGTATGGACTAACGTTAAATGAGCGACACCACCTCTCTTAATGCAGTTATTCATATAACAACTTTTCAAAATAAAGTGTCATATCGAAAGCGGTCAGCAAAATGGTCCGATCTGAACCAAACCGTTGTAACAAATTTCATTCGAACATCTGAAAAATTTGTGCCTGAATTGAACGCAATGGATCACCTAAGTGATCCGATCTGAATCATCATCAGTAGCTTTCATCTTTGGGCGGAAACATGTCGTTGTAGCAAATTTCATCAAAATATTTTAAAAATTTGGGTCCTACAGGCTGAACACACGAATAGAAGACACGCAGATAGACGGACGGACAAGCTTAACTTCAAAAAGCGATTCCGAATCGCTTGGTATAATAAAAGGAATATCTGTCTCAACTCCTAACCAGGTACCATAAGTAGTTTAGGGTATAAAGAAATGAACTTAAGCTGTAAACAAAAAAACAAAAACATTCTAATAACTACCGCGGTTTGCGCTACAGACTGAGAACCATACCGTGGTGGGATTCGTTACAAAACACGTGTGCGGATTAGCGGTTAAACAGCCAAAGCTATAATAGTTTTATATAGTAAACGGGAGAAACCGGCAGTCTTGGAAGGAATGTTCGCCGGTCCCCAGACGCCGGCTCAGACGTATTTCTTTAGCTCTAAGGCGATTTGCGCGACGATCTTTCAAAGGAGTGAATGAAGCGTTTCTGTCGTACATTTTTTTTTTTTTTTGATAACAGTCACGGATTGCATAGTAAAATTTGTAAAATGTAGTAGAAGTGGTCGGACCATGCTAATAAAATCATCAATTAGGTGTATATACAATAAATGTAGGCGTTGTATCGCAAAAACAAATATTAGAATTACTTGATATCTAGTATCACTCTAGTATACTAATTTTGCTAATAAATATAATTAAATCACCATCAAGTGTCTTCTACTTAACACTCCTGCCTAGGCGATAACGTAATGTAGTAGAACTAAAGTTCTAATCTTTAATTCTCTGTAGAACATAGTAGTACACTTGATATGTTCACTCTAGTCAGTTTATCCGACCTTGGGTTGTTGATGCGATGGAATAGTGACAACCACTCTCTCTGTCTCGCTGTCTCATAGACACATATCGACTGCGGATGTGCTTCAATATTACATGCACAGATGCTTTTTCCTCTTTCTTCCTCTTATGTTTGTGAATTTGTAAACATTTTTCTATGTAAAAATCTTCTTTCCATATGTTTGGAAAGTATTGAGTTTTCAGTTGTGCGTAGCA